TATTGTTGGAATTGGTCAGTGGGCACAGAGTGTTCATTTAGTAAAATGAAATGAACTCGAAAAATGGAAGCACAAACCTAAAATAATGTAGTAAGATCTCACGGCTAAAGACACCCGGTGCTTTCATTTACTTCTGTACCATTATTATTGTTAAAAATTCTGTTAGGTAAGTAGTATCTTACAAAAATATATTATTCTTGTCCCGCTCACGAGTAAGTATTTTATAAAATATTTGTTCGGTCTTTCTAGTGACTATATTTAAGCACTTAGAATACCAGGGCTGCTCAAGCAGTTGTGGAATTCGAAGTTAGTGATGCCGCTGGAATGCTCCCGCACATTAGAGTCAGCTTTAAGTAAATTTTGTAAGTGGCTATGCTATCAGTTCTCTTTTTTAAAGTTCAAATCTTATTTAATGATCGAAATTCCTGGCTCAGCAGTTTTGTTTACTTAGAGATCCAGAAGCGTTTCTTCTTTTCCTGTCCTTTTGACATGGTGGTTTTTGTGTGGTGAATTTGCGTTTGAAATGAATCAGAGCAATTTTGTTTTGTAAGTGATAATAATTGCTGAAACTGACAGGAGGCGAGTGTCTGCTGTCAGTTGTACACAGATATTAGGTTGATGCAGCAACTGATGTTATTTAACAGGTATTGAAAAATTCAAGAAACAAACTCAAATTTCAGGTTTCGGCCGACAATCACGGTAAGTGCCTTGGTATCACTGTTAGGCCTCGAAGAGACAAAGCTATGTGAATGGTTAGCAACTCTGGGAATAACACCTAGCGATGGCAAAATTGACTGTCGTACTCACTGCAGTGCGATAACTGCATGATCTTTTTTTCTGTAAGTATATGTTGAATTTTAAAAGCATCTTAGTGATTTCACTAGTACTGGTATGCGTCGCTTTTTTTTTCCAGTTCTATTATCAGACTGTTTTTGATATGATTATCGAAAACCTCTCCTAATACTCTAAAAATTCTCATGCAGGAACCAAATAAAATACACTGAAGAGACGAAAAAATTTCCGGCAATACGTGGAAACACAAAAATACAGGCCAAATTTACAAGACGAATAAGTTTTGTGGATATTGAGCTGTAAATCTGGTTTACAGAATTTGTGTAATTTCACACTGTACAAATCCACATGCTAACGGCACTTGTAGGAAGAAAAAGAAAGCACATCTGAACAAAAAGAAACATGATCCGACACCGAAACAGAGAAACGATAGTA